ACAGGCAAGAAGCAGACAGAGACATGTTGCATCTGGAACAAGCTGACTAGCCAGAGGAGTCAGAACAGCCAATTGGAGTTCAGCAAGAGATCCTGCCTCAATAAATAAGCCTGGCAATGGTTGAGAAAGACACTTGATGCCTAGGGCCTCTGGTGGGAGCACAAAGGTCTTTGAACTCATAGATAGCACCAGGGACCAGGAATGTTAAACATGCAGGGCTGGGGGCTGGAGAGATGGCTCAGTGGTTAGGAGCACTGACTGTTCTGCTAGAGGACCCAGGTTCAATCCCCAGCACCCACATGGCAGCTCACAACTGTAACTCTAGTTCCTGGGAATCCAACGCTCTCATACGGACACACATGCACACCAATGCAAATGAAATTAGTATTTGAAAGACAAAACAAACAAAAAACATTCAGGGTTGTCTTTTCAAGGAAAAGATGTATAACCTGTTTTCTGCCCAGAAGGCTGGGAACAGAGGTGGCTAATAGCTTAGGTGATCCTCGGTCTATCTGTAGGGCCAGGCCATACCAAACTCCCTCAAGCATGACGGGAGGCAGCTAATAGTCTAGGTGGCACGTGTGTTATCTGTATGGCCAGGGGTTCCCCCAAGCTCCCCCAGCCAGGATCAGAGGTCACTAATAACCCAGATGACCTCTACACTATCTGCATGACCTAGACCATATCAGATCCTCCCCTAGGCCTTAAATACATGTACGTAGCCTATCTCTAGAATCCATCTTCATGGAAGAAACGACATGTACTTTGAGTTTCAAGGTAATTATGAGTCCTTGAGCACAGGGGTTTGTGTTACACCAGGAACTTTTCTTTTTCTCCCAAATTGTACTATACTTAAATAATACCCGAAATAAACTGCCTGGGGTCAGGGCCTAGAAGTTTGAACCAACACCAGCAACTCAGCTGAACCGGATTTCCTTCTTATTTCATGTGAATCATTATTCTGCCGGCCATAGTGTTTGCAGAGCCCCTCACAGGCCTCAAGCATGCAGCACACACATGCACTCACATCTAGACATGTGAACACATACAAACATGCATGCACATACATACTCACAAAAAGGTGAAATAAAGCACTTACTGCCAATCCTAATAAACCGAGTTCCACATAGTGAGAGGGAAGAACACACTCCTGCAGTTCTCCTTCGATCCCCACTTGAGATCAAATATGCTGTGCAGCCCTAAATACGCTACGCAGTCAAGTGTGAGCTGAGCTTTTGATCCTCCCGTGTCCACCCCCCAAGTGTGAAGGTCATGTTTGCACTATCACGCCAAGTTTATGCACAGTGCTGGAGACTGCACTCTGAGCCACACCCCAGCCCAACTTCGGTTTTTTGAAAGCGGGTCTAACAAAGCATCCCAGGCTGCCCTGGAACGCACTATGAAAGCCAGGCTGGCGTCCAATGGCTGGCCCCCTTGCTTCAGCCTCTCGAGGGCTATACCGCAAGTATTCATCACACATAGCAACTTTTGTGTCGTTTTCTGTTGTAATGAGTCCTGAAGGGGTGTCGTGGATGTAGAAGTCATGCTTCTGCTTCCATGGTCACTAAAGGTACAGTGTGAACTAAGCAGTGGAGTCAGAGATGTTGAACCTCATGTATTCTGGCACAGAACAGGAAGCCCAGACACGGGAAGTGGCTTGTCAAGGTCACACGCTGATGAGGGCCATCCCTAAGCACTTACTTCCTACTCTACACCCATCTATTGCAACCTGTCCTCTCCAAGGTCCCTCTATTGCCACTTCTCTGACACTGTGACTACAGTGGGTTATGTTCCCTAAAAAACTGTCTTGCTAGCCAGACGGTGGTGGCGCACGCCTTTAATCCCAGCACTCAGGAGGCAGAGCCAGGAGGATCTCTGTGAGTTCAAGGCCAGCCTGGTCTACAGAGCAAGATCCAGGACAGGCTCCAAAGCTACAGAGAAACCCTGTCTTGAAAAAAAAAAAAAAAAAAAAAAGCTGTCTTGCAGAGGATGCAGCTCACTTGTGGAGTGCTCGCCTAGCATGCACAAAGCCCTGGATGCTATCCCAACATTGCACAAACGTACACACAAGTCATTCTAGCACCTAAGAGGTGGAGGCAGGAGCACCAGAGTTCAAGGCCATCTTCAGCTACACAAGTAGTTCAAAGACTGCCTGAGCTACCAGACACTGAGTCAAAGGGGGGGGGGGGGGGTTGTTGGTTAAACGGCACTGCTCCTGGCTGGCCACCGCCCGCAGCGGCCATGCCGGCGGCGGAGGAGAGTGCTGGTCTGAAGAATCACAGGCCATGGTTACCTTTTTAGAGCTTTATTGGGGGGTGGGGGTGGAGAGAAAGGGGGAGAAAAAGAGAGAGGGAGAGAAAGGACAGAAGGAAAGAGCGGAAAGGAAAGAGGGACACACAGAGGGTCTACCCGCTTTTTAGGCTGGGACGCTGTCCCAGGCTGATGACGTAATTAAGGACAAAATCCTTACAGGGTGGAGCGGGTAAATAGACAGGTTGGTAAAGTGCTTGCTACATAAACATGAGGACCTGGGTTTATAATCCCACTGGTGGAGACAGGAGGATCCCTTGGGCTCATTGACCACCCAGCCTATCTCCATCAGTGGGACTATAAATACATGTACATGCTTCCATGCCTGATACTTCATGTGGGTTATAAAAAATGTCACTGGAGGTTGACCTCTGGCCTACACACCCACACCCACGCCCACGCCAACGCCCACGCCCACACACGCACGCACGCACACACCCACACACACAATCCCCCAACCTATAACCTCAGTATATACATACAAATAGTAATAAAACTTTTCCAGTCTCACTTCTGTAATCTCACCTGTAACTAGAGTCTCTCTCCTCTCTCTCTCTCTCTCTCCTCCCTCTCTCTCTCTCTCTCTCTCTCTCTCTCTCTCTCTCTCTCTCTCTCTCTCTCACACACACACACACACACACGGGAAGTGGGTCTGGAAAGGATGTGATTCAGGCACCAGGCCTGAATCACAGGGATTAATCGGGACATTTGCTGAGGCAGGATAGTGAATTTGAGCCCAGGTTAGGGTTACATGATAAAATCCTGTCTGAAAAGACATGTTTAAGGGCTAGAGCATCAAATAACTCAGCAGTCCAGAGTGCTTGTTAGGAGTTGATTTTTGAGTCTAAGGCCAGCCTGGGTTACAAAGTGAGAAAAGAAAAAGAGAAAAGAGAAGAAAGTAAGTTTGGAGGATGGAGGTGACTCATTAAGAATGCATACTTCTCACGTTGAGGCAGGACTAAGCTCTTCCCCTCTGCATCAAGGCCATGCTTTGTTGACTCCCATGGGAGGCCTTACCCTTTCTGAAGAGTGGATGGGGTGGGGAGGAAGGAGGAGATGGGTGGAGGGAAACAGGAGGAGAGGAGGGAGGGGAAACTGTGGTTGGTAATAAATTTTAAAAATTAATAATTAAAAAACAAGAAAAAGAATGCATACTTCTCTTGCAAAGGTCCCAGAAGCCTCATCAGGCAGCTCACAGCTGCCTGTAATGCCTGTAAGGCAGATCCAGGGGGCCTGACACCTCTGGCCTCCACAGGTCTTTTTTCTCTACATACCTAACACACTGACACAAGTGTGCACAACTCAATGTATGTATGTACATAGGTGTCTGTGTGCGTATACACACACACACAAAGAGTACTTGCCGTGCAATCCAAGGGGTCGCAGTTTGAACCCCTAAACACAAGTCTATAACCCCAGCTCTAAGGGCAGACAGCATTACCAGGGCTTGTTGGCTTCTGGCCTAAGAAACCGCAAGCCATGGGTTCAGGGAGAGAGGTCCTGCCTCAAACAAGTGGGCAGTGAGATGACTCCAGACGTCCTCTTCTGACTTCAGTGGGAGCGTTCAGGTATGCATATCGGCACACACGTGTACCCACTCACACCCAAACAATCTTTAAAGGGGAAAAAAGTCATGTTTGCTGTAATGAACTGTCACCCTACACATTCCTCCCAAATAATGGCGACACTGATGTTCCAACACTCGTTTTACTTGAGCAGCTAGGTTCATATTCGGGGCAGTGTGGAGGGGCAGCTGGGGAGGGAAGGCTGACTGGGAAAAGGAAACAGGCACGGGGAGGGGAAGATGTAGGTTGGGTTGGGGGGCCTGGAATCCACAATCAGAAGCCAGGGAAGGCAGCTTGATCTCAGCGGTAGATTTGAAATTCTGCCAACAGTATGCAGATGTTTCGAGATGGTCAAGTATCTGCAGGCACATGACCGGAAGTGTCCACTTGCCAGGCTGGGTCAATGTGAAAAGCCAAGGTCCTTATGGGAGAGGGGCCACCGTGCTGTCTGGGTCCTGCATTAGTGGGTTTTGAGCCCGGGGTTCCTGAGGGCTGACAGGGTGATGAGGAGCTGGGCTGCGTAGTAGGTGCTCATGGTCATTAGGCGGGCAAAGGGTAAGGAGCTGACGAAAGTGTTCCAGGCCAGCACACCGTCGGAGATTGTGAAGAGCACACCGCCCCAGCCAGCAGTCCCACCCCAGACAAGGCTGCGCCACAGCATGGAGCTCAGGACCAGCCCATAGGCCAACACGGGAAGGACCATCTCCAGCTCCAGGTGTGGCAGGATGAAGCTGTAGTAGACGAGCGAGGCCAGGATGATGTACAGCAGCAATCCGGGCTGCGGCGGGGACAGGCCAAAAGCCCAGAGGTAGAATAAATGGGCAGCAGAGAAGGCAGCCATGCCTGAGGGAGAGAGGTATGGGCACCCAGTGAGGCAGGGGTGGGTGCCCAGGGAGGCGGGAGTTGGCCTCCTGCTTCTCACTGTTGTCTTGGCCACCACCAGACCCAAAGGAACAATGTCCCCAAAGCACCAGCTCCACCCGCCCCATGGCCATGGCACTATCATTTTCTACTGAGATTATAGCACCCCTTTTCCTGGTGGGTTTGCACTTCCTTTCCATCCTTGGGTGTTCTATCAGCTCCCAGAGCAATGGGAATGACCTTCAAATTCATGCTGTCATGTGCTTGCTCTGTCCAAGTGTCCATCAACTCCACATGTGTTTGGGAAGCCCTACACCCTTGTTTTAGCAACCAACCCACTCCAGCCAGACTGGTCCATTTGGGCAAAGTAACTCACATGCCATTACCCCAGGTCCTTCCCACACAGTTCCCATGCCCAGGATGGCCACTCTCCCCAATGCACACACATCCTTGAAGAAGATGCCTCAATAGCAAGTGTGGTAGGGGAATTTCTGTATATTCCTGTAAACCCGGCACTTGAGAAAGAAAGCTAAGGCAGGAGGACCCAACGTTCCAGGCCCTTCAGACCAGCCTGGACTAGAGATGTCTTAAGAACTTGACCTTTTCCCACACCACCCCTTCCAACCAACGAGCCCAACCCCGAGCCCCTGGATGAGCTGTGAGCTGCCGGCCACTCCTCACTGCCTCCTGGTGTCTCAGGACCACGGCCTACTTCAGCCCAGGGACTCTAGGGGAAGAAGCTCCCTGCATCCCAAAGTTGTGTCCCAGCACTGACTCCACCCCACCAGAGCCCTAGATGTAATGTCACAGGGTCCCGCTCACCATAAAGGAAAGCTTCAGGCCAGATGAGGCAGGCATCTCCCACAGCAGAACACACAAGGGCTCCCTGGAGGAGCCAGGAGTAGCTTCCACCAGGGGCCACAGCCCACAGGAACACAACCAGGCAGAGGATGGGCAGGCACTTGACCAGGGCACTGACCCAGGAAGGCTGGTCCTCGGGAATCCAGAGGAGGAAGTAGACTGAGCAGGTAAGGATGAAGGGAGCCAGCCACCTGCGGACCTGTGGGTGCTTCAGGAGAGGGAAGCTGCTCAGCCCCCCACACTCAGCCCAGTCCTCAGGCAGGGGTCACAGCAGGGATGGTGGGAGTGTCTGTCATTCCAGTACTTAAGAGATGGGGACAGGAGGATGCTGGACTCAAGACCAGTCTAGGATATTTTAACACCTGCCCCTCATACCACCCTCATGCCAGGACCCACGGTGTGTCCAGGCTGGACTTTAGGGACCACAATCTTTAGTCACTTTGGTATTTTTTGTCACTCATGTCTCCTGCAAGGACAAAACCACAGTACCTTAGAACCCAGACTCCTGGGGGACAGGGGATCCCAATCAACTCACCACAAAGAGAATCGCAGGCCCTAGGGTTGCCCACGTTCCCAGGCTGGAACCCACCCCCACCCCACAGGCTCTCACTTGGTCTGAGAAGAGTGTCTTCAGGGGCAGCCCTTCTTTTCTAGCATCCATGTTGAGTGGTGTCTACTTAGGAACCAGTGGCTTCGGAGGGCAGAGGGGAAGCCCTGTAAGGTTACACATTAATCCAAGTGTCCTATGGACTCTGGGGCTGATAACAGGGCTCACCCGAGGCCTGTTCTTGTCTGGCACTTGCTGATAAAGTGCCCATCAGGACTCAAGGGTCCCTCCACCCTTCACAGCCCCTCCCCCAGCACCTAGAACCTGGCCAGCTCCTCCTCTAATTGGCCCGTGCAGGTGAGCCCCCCACGTGGACCTCCCATTGTCTGGTGCCCAGCCAATCAGAAGGGACAATGCAGAGTTCCACAGAGGGGTACCTACCCCACACCAGCCCTGAAGAACGGGAGGCAGCAGAGACTGGAGAGAAGCCCTGCCTTGTGCTGGATGGCACTGGGCTTCAACCCCAGGCTGATGACCCCACTGCACACTCGCTCACTGTTCTGGGGCTCACTCCCTCCCGTGGAGATCGAACACAGGGTCTGGGGTGCCAGGCGCCCACCCGGCACTAGGTTCCTCAACAGGGACACTTCACTGTGTGCCTACTCTCAAGGCAGCTCCCTGCCTCCTAGCCCACCCTTTCGTTTTGGTTTGGTTTGGTTTGGTTTTTGGCTTTGTAAGACAGGGTTTCTCTGTGTAGCCGTGTGTGTCCTGGAACTCGCTTCGTAGACCAGGCTACAACTCATGTAGGTGGCCTGGCTCTGCCTCCTGAGTGCCCAGTGCTTCCTATCCCCTTAATGGCTGGAAGCCCAGCTCCAAGGTCCAGGGACCTCTTGTTCTTCCTAGCAGGTCTCAGCTGTCAGCTGACTCAGCACAGCTCCTACCCTGACCTGCATTGCAAATCTGGGCAAGGGGGTACCCCCAGGATGAGGATCCCAAAGTGCTAAGTCAACAAGACCTGATGCTCTGCCTGGTAAGCACAGGCGTTCCCCACCCCACACACTCACTCACCAGGGGAGTCCCAAGAGAATGGAGCTCTCTCCAGGCCGTGTGGAGCAGATTAACCCAACCCTGAGTCCCAGAACTCAAGGTCCGACACCAGAAATCTTCAGCTGTCTTCCTTTATTTATATTTGCAGTATGAAACACAAGCTCTGCACACATACTTGCACACTCACGCCAGCCTGGGGGAAGGAGCTGGGACAAGGCCACTTGGCAGCAGTGCTGGGACCCTCAGGGCATTGGGCACCCAGAATCCCCGGTTCTGGGCCTCTGGGGACGTTGCCAGGGAAGCCCTGCTCCCCAGGGCCAGGGGCCAGATGCCTGGTCGAAGTGCAAGGTCTGAACAAACGCATGGCCATATGGGCCTAATGCCCTCTGTTACACCCCAAGGTGGTCCTGAGTGAAAGGCTGGGTGTAAGCATCTGCACCAGAGCACGGGTCAGCGGCCTCAAACCCCAGCGCCAGTCCCCGCTGGGACAGACGGGGAGGTTGTGCTTCAGAGCTGCTGACCCAGTTATTGTCCTGGCTTCCTTTCTTACTCCTCCTTCAATATATATATATATATATATATAATATATAATATATGTTTCTCTCTCTCTCTTTTTTTTTTTCTCTCTCTCCTTTCTCTCTATGTGACTATCTTTATTCTAGGAGACAAAGCTCCATAGTTTCTCTTCTCAGTGCAAATGGGGGTGGGTGAGGGCATCTCCCTGGCACCAGCCTCCTTTGGAGTCCAGAGGAGAGAATGTAGGATATAATGGGGTAGAGGGCCACCAAAGGACCCATCCTGCCCCACTGGGGGATTCCATGGGAAGGACAGAGGATTTGGCCACCGCTGCCGCTGGGCAGCTACCTGGAAACAGAGGGAGACACTTGTGAGGGTCCAGTGACCCCCCCCCATCTTGCCCAACCACCCCCAAGCTGTAGGCACACTCACTGGGAACCCGATGAAACAGGCCCTGCTGGGGTAGAGCCATTGGGCATCTCAAGGGCCTGGGCACTGTTAGGACAGAAAGGAGACCTGGAGGTTATTTCTTGCCCCTCCAGTCTTGCCCATCCACCCAACACCTCCCAGAGAGGCTAACTCACCTCTGGCTTTGGGGAAGCCCCAAAGGTTCTGGGCTCTTCTCCCCCTCCACGGTCTGAGGGGACTGGCGGGCCTCAAAGGCTGGGACAGAGGTAGAGGGGTCTCTGGTTGCACTGTAGGTAAGACAAATTTGACTACTGTTAGATGCTCCCAGGGCTCTGCCTGCCTGAAGACACCATCTCTCCAGAAGAGACCTCAGGGGAGGACAGGGCTGGAGAGCAGAGACTTCAGAGCTTTGGGAAAGCCTATGCGCATACAGATGGCAGAGCAGGAGGGGGCTGCAGAGCTGCTGGGGGAGAGCCAGGCCTCCCCAGCTTTCTCTCTGGCAGCTCTCAGGGGCCATCCCCCTGCAGGACATGCTTGTGGTGCCATGCACATTCCTGCTTCTTGTGGTCCCTGATCCTCCTGGAAGCTGATCTCACCTCTGGGGTCACAAGGGCCCTATGTGCCACTGTCTAAAACATTTAATTATTAAAAGGAATGGACACGGGGCATAGTAGCTCGAGGTAGAGCTTGGTGCTGAGGACAACTAGGGACAAGAGCCCAGCATCCACTTCAGCGGGAGTCTGGGCTTCCCCTACCCCACCTCCAGCAAAGAGCTCAGATGGGACACCAATGGTCACCTGTCCAAGGAGCTGGGGGCGGAGCGCATCCCGTGCAGAGTGGCCTGGACATCCGCAACACTAACCAAGGCCTGGCAGGGGGCTGTGGAAGGAGAGATGGGCCACATTTCAGCTGTCACCGTCCAGCAAGCTGAGACATGGCCTTGCTGCTGTACCAGTGCCCTTACGGGAAAGGTATGGCTTGGCTCACCCAAGGGCTCTGCTACTTTGCTGCTATCTGTGACTTCCTGAGGTGCTGAGGGGGGTGTGGGGTCCTGAGACCTAGAAGGTAAGAGAGGAGCTTGAAGGTGTGGCTGTGGTCAACACCCAAGCCTAAGAGAGGACTAGGAGGTGGGAGGACCTCCCAGATGAGACCCGTACCCGCCTGCCCTGCCCTGCTCATCCACACCTGAGCTGTGGGGCATCGTGGGCTGGAGGGCTGGTCAGGATCTGGGTGGAGGATATGTCTGCCTCCTTGGAAACTGAGGGTCCTGTTGGGGCATCCATAGGCACTGGGTCAAAGGTGGCTGTCCAACTTGGGCCTGTGGCAGAGGTAAGAGAACATGGACCGAGGTGAGCTTAAAGCAGGCAGACACTCCATGTCCACCTGAGCCCAAGCCCCCAAACACCTACCAGAAGGCTGAGGGCTGGGGCTGGGCAAGGAGGAAGGGCTGGTCCTCCCAGAGACGGCCTGGCCAGCCCCCTCCTCCTCATCCTCTTCTTCCTCCTCCTCCTCCTCATCCTCGCTGTCTGTGCTTCCTCCACTCCTGCCTCAGACACCAACTCATTAGGAGACCATATAGGGAGAGCCGACCGACCCACTTCCCCACCCAGCCCAGAGCCAGAGCAGATGGCAACACAAGACGGTGGGGAACAGAAGCCTCCGAGAGGTCCAGGAAACCAGGGGTGTGAAGATGCTGGAGAAGGCTGAGTCACACCCACAAGCACAGATGAAGCACCAACTCTCAAGTCGCCTCTGTCACCAGTGTCACCAAACACACAGGACTGTCCACCCTAGGGTCATCCCCCGAACACAAGATCTACTATGCCTTTTCCTCCAGCTAGAAATGCCAGCCAACACCACTGCCATATCCTGAGAACACCTAGCACCCTTGGCTGTTCTAAAAATAGTCTGAATGCTTATGACCCAGGGTGTAGTCATGAAGAAAATCCCAACTGCCTATGCACACAAAGGAGGAAGAGAGGACTAGGGTAACCCAAACTCAGAGAAAAACCAGGCCATCCCTCCTGTGCAGAGCCTACCTCCTAAAGCATGTACGTACACATGTAAACAGGTATAATAAAGGTGAGTACAGTGTAACATTCAGGAAAGAGAGCAGCCAGGCGGTGGTGGCACACGCCTTTAATCCCAGCACTCAGGAGGCAGAGCCAGGTGGATCTCTATGAGTTCGAGACCAGCCTGGTCTACAGAGTAAGCTCCAGGACAGGCACCAAAACTACACAGAGAAACCCTGTCATGAAAGAAAAAGAGAGAGAGGAGGGTGGGGCTTTTTTTTTTTTCTCAAACTAATGCTAGGTCCACTACACTCTGCAAGGTGGCTCTGGGTATACACATAAGGAATCTAAGTCAGCACAGAACAGACACCTGTAGAGTTGTTTATTACAACACTATTTACAATGCCGAGTTATAACATCAGCCTCAGTGTTCATCAACAGAGGACTAGACAAAATGTGATCTACACACAAAAAGAGGTTTGAGTTTATTTAGCCATAAAGAATGAGATTATGATATCTGCAGGATAACAGAGACCATCCTGTTAAGGGAAATAAGCCAGAGTTTACAAAGACACAAAAAGAGGGCAGGTAGTTAGTTGGGAAGAGGGGAGGGGGAATAGGGAGGGTCAGAAAGGTTAACAACATATACTAAAATGTCATAATGAAAATCTACCATTTTGCACAAGGAATCTGTCCAAATGTCTGTGCATGTGCATTCAAGCCAGCAAGATGGCTTAGTAAATAAAGACACCTGCCACCAAGTCTGACTGCCTGAGTTCAATCTCTGGGACCCAAACTGTGGAAGGAGAGAATGACTCCTGCAAGCTGTCTTTACACACACACACACACACACACACACACACTGCAACCACACCCAGGCACTTGTGCACCCATACAATAATTAATAATAAAAACCCCAGAGTAAAACTCTGGGTTGTGGCACACACATGTATTCCTAGAGTCAGGAGGCTGCCTCAAAACATCCTAGTGACAAGTATTACAAATATAGGACCCTTCCCCTATACTGTATGACTTTAAAGAGTGGGCACGACATCATGGGCACTGCTGCCCATGGCAGAGAGGACAGCAGCCATGTGGGCACAGAGGGAGGAGAGGGCAGGTCCTGCTGCTGGCTCTAGATTCAGACTGAGTGATTCCGTCTGGCTGCAAACACTAGGTCTGTACATTTATCTGTATGCATGCTACATATCAATTATAACATTAACACAAACAACGGTTCTTCAGATCCAGTCATGAGGTAACAGCTTAGTGCTGCAGGCCATGCATTGGTAGTGTTCATCTCAGCAAAAGGTCTGACATGAATTAATTTGATCACACTGAGTATCAGACAAAAAAAAAAAAAAGGAAGAAAAAAAATAAATTATCCATACAAAGCTGATAATCTAATTTGAGAGGGGTTTTATCGTCTCTCATTCCAGAAAGGGGAGAAAGGGAAGCTTGTGTGGCACCATCTGAACTCAGGAGCACAGGGGAATAATGGTGCCTTCTTCATTTCGTACCCAACGTAATCTGAACTGAGTTCTACCACTTGTGATTGAAACCACACAACTAACACACACCACACTGACTTTTCTCACCTCCAGCCTCAGTCCAGCACTTACAAGCCTCTGCCTTTGGTGTGTGTGAGTGCGTAGGTTTAGGCGTACGTGAAGGAAGACTCACCGGACACCGGGGGGCTGGCCTGCATGGGACACCCTCGCTGGCTGGCTGCCCTGCCAGGCGCCATATTCTCCATCTGACTCTGCTGAGCCTTGGCCCTCCTCCTCCTCCTCCTCCTCCTCGTCATCGAACTGCTGGATGCGGTCCTTGTAGCATATCTCAAGCAGGTTGGCATTGGGCTGCAGGGCAGGGCAGGAGGATATGCTGTACTGCTTGTGACCCTCTACACCCTCCACCCACCACCACAGGACAGGGAGCACTCACATTCTCATCATCAGCATTTAAGGAGAAGGTGATGTTGGCAGTCTTGTCAAATGGCGCACTGGGGAAGAGAGATGCAGTGAGACATATTCTCACACAGCAACCCTCACTACTGTGCAAGTCACCTCCTGCCTAAGGTTCACAGCATTCTGAGGTCACAGAAGGAAGTCAACCTAACGGATATATTCTCAGCACAATCACACTAAAGGGAAGTGTCCTCATCTCCTCCCTAAACATAGAAACACAGCTCCTGGGGCTGGAGGGGAGGCTCACTGGTCAAAAACACTTGTTGCTCTTGCAGAGGGCCTGGACTCAGTTCCCAGCATCCATGTGGTGGCTCATGACCATCCATAACTCCAATTCCTGGGGATTCTACGTCCTCGTCTGGACCCCGCAGGCACTGTATGCATGTGGTACACATACACACATGCAGGCAAAACTCATACACACAAGCTTAAAATAAATGTTAAGACAAAACAACACAGCTCCCTTCGATGCTCAAGACAGGGACTCAGGTGACCTGCCATGCAGGAAGCTCTGCAGGATGGTCTGAATCCTATCTGTGGAGTAGCCTCAGCGACTCACTTGGCACTTCTAAATCTCATTTCAACATCTGTAAAAATCAATGAAACGGAATCTACATGGAAGCGTGTTTTTAAGGATTTACCTACAACCTAGTTTGTAAAAGCTTACACATCCACCCATGTTTCCTGGTAACAACAGCTCTGGCTGTATCAATCTGCTGTTCATAACTACCACGCAACAAAGCCAACAACTGAAAGGCATCAGCAAGACACACCCTATTCCGCCACACTCTGGAAGGGGCTCTAACTACACCAGTACCATTTACTGCTACTGCAGGGGGACCTGTCGCTTCCTGCCAGGGTTTGTGGCCTTGAGTTTGTGACCATCACCCCCTCTCTTGCAAGGATGCAAGTGCTAGTGGGAAGGGCACGGGGCCAGTGCCACACTCCTGGAAAACAGATGACACTGAGAGCCGACAAGGCAAACTGCTTCAAGACCTTCCCAGCCAGACCCCACCAGAATAAAGGTACTGGCTGGAGTAGCTGACACATGACCCCTGCCTGACCTTTGATAAGCCTACAGTATGTTCAAATGCTAAACACGGGAACATAACCATTTTTGAAGATTAAATAACACACTGCTGCCAGGGCCCCACCACTCCCAACCATGAGGGTAGGATACCAGTAAGAAGACTTAACTGTCTGAACTACCCAGCGGGTGCTGCCGGCAGGGAGCGCCTCCCAGTGGGCACCTGACAAGCCAGTCAGTACACAGGCATCTTTGTTCAGCTCTACGGACAGCCCCACAGAAATCACATGAAACGAAACCTGCACCCTGGAAGTATCCACATGCTCTCTAAAAGAACTCATCAGCTTCTCCTCCTCCTAGCAGAGCCTGTGACTTTCTGTCTTTTACCCACTTTTTCAAGTTTGTTTTGAGATAGTGTCTGTCTCATAAGCCTACCTAGACTAGCCCTGAACTTGCTATAAAGCTGAGGATGACCTTGAACTCCTAAGTCTCCTGCCTCTACTTCCCAAATACTGGAATTACGAGAATGTGCCACCACATCCGGCTTTTCTTTCTACTGAGATGCCTTTCTACCCTTACATGGTAAGAACACTATACACAGATGCACATCGTGTACACAGGTTGGGGTTATTTCCCAAGGGGCCGTCTCAGGCTCATGAATACTCAGCAGTAATATACTCCACTCTACAAGGGAGTGTCCTTAACTCCCCAAAAGGAGGAGCTGAGGCTCTCAGCAAGTCAGGAGTGGAGCGGCCCAGCCAATGCTACACTGCACTGCCCCCTCAGCAGACTTGGTGTCCCCCATCAGGACTACAGAACACCTTCCCCCGACACTGCTGACTAGGTACCTTCCCTGCTCTAACCCTGAAGAGCTTCGTTCTCCTTGTGACTTATCTTGGTGGAAAAGCAGGAACAGAGCCTTGTCTCAAAAGTACAACTAGTTACCTAACTCCATCTACCAAGAAACCAGCCCCACTCCCATGAGGATGGAGTCAAGTTTCCACTTGAGCATCTTCCCCAAGGGACCAAATGAAGGCCTCTGACTAAAATAAGGCTAGACAGGAAGCAGAGAAGCAGCCAACACAGGATTCCATGGCTGTATCTAGGGGGACAGTGAAGCCACAGCAGACTGCTGTCCACCACAATGCTTCCAGAGATGCTCAGCATAAGGACCCTGACAAGGCTCAGTCTGGCTAATTCCCAGGACTTTGTCTCTTTGGGTGCATATAGTCGATAAGCTTGCTCAAAGGGCCAAAGTATTACAAAACGGGAGAACATCCAGTGGGAGAACATCCCGGACCACCACAAGCGATGACCCAGATGTCCACTCCATGCTCCCCAAGGCCAGCTCCTCCACCCAACTGCATAGTCTCAGAGTTCGGCCACCTGACAACCAGGTTCTACTTTCCCTAGAAACATCAAGACTTCATCAAGACTGTCTTCTCTCACTCAGGCACCATTCCTACACCGTACACTCTGCTCACCACCCTCACCATGAGGAACCTTCATGTCCCATTCTCAGGACCTTCATTGTGGGAAGGAAGATAACTCCAGGGCCGGGTCTTAAGCCACAGCTGGGCTATGCCCAGAAACAGGCTGCTGGCTGCACAAATAGATGAACATTCAAGAAAAGATGCAAGATATACACAGGGGCACAAGATATACCCCCTCCTGAGGCCAGGCGGCACCGTGACCACAGGCAGCACAGGGCACATGCGTCACAAGGCAGAGCCCCGGCTTCACACAAGAAACACTCACTTCACACTTTCCTCCTGCTCCCCGAATTCCTCATCATTAAAGCCAAAGTGGTCAATGAAGGCTGAGGTCATGCGTTGCATCTGGAAGTCCATGAAAGCCTACGAGAGTCATGGAGGTCAGGGCTGGAAGGGAGCTGCCCTTCCCGACTCCTCCCCCTGCACAGGCCCAGGCCCACCTGCTGCAGGACAGCCTCCTCGGGGAAGTTGAACTCCTTGAGGCGGTCATCCTCGTCATCACTGGAGGAGTGCAGGTGGTGAGTGTTCACCTGGGGACGGGATGAAGGAGAGTCCTCAGAGCCAGCTCAAGCCCCCAGACGAGGGCAAGGCAAGCAGCTGTAGAAGTAGGGGCATGGGTGAGATAGCAGATCAGGCCTCACCAGATCTACTGTGTTCTTCTTGTTGGTCTCAGCCAGGGGTCCTGACACAAAGGCTTCCCACCGCTGCTGCTGATCTTCTGGCAGCTCTGAGTACAGGAACAGGAGAGTGTGAGGTGGGAGAACCTGAGCTTCCAACACCCACCTCTTCAAGCTGCTTCTCCAGCCAGCCCCAAGCCTCACCCTTTAGTAGCTGCCCCAGTTGCTCAGCATTGGGCCCCTGTTCTGCATTCTGCACCACGGCGTTGGCCACCCGAGTCAGGTGGCCCATATAGCCTTTCCTTGGGCCCCCTCCAGACCTGGTTGAGAGTGGAGAGCACAGCTGGGTGACAGGCTGGATGTCAGGGCTACCCAGGCCCCCAACCACCCTCCCACCGCCCTATTTTCCCCACAGGAAGTGGCGAGCACTGACTGCACATGGTCGTTCTCCTCCCAGGACGCCAGGATGCGCTCCACCAGGCGGCAGTGCTGAAGGAGCTGCAGGAGAGCAAAGAGGAGTTGGCTTGGGGACAGCTACCCTTCAGAGCCCGCGCAGGGAAGGGCCTCTCCACAGCAAGCCAACCTCACCAGGCCCCAGCCTGTAAGCAAGCAGAGGAAGGAAGGGTGGGAGCCAGTGTCTGGCCTGCTTTAAAGCCCCGTTTTGATACAGGGTCTCAAGTAGCCCAGGCTAGTCTAAAACTCTTTACGTAGTCAAAGATGACTATAATCTTTGGACCCTCCCAAGTGCATCACCACACCTGCTTTGTTATGTTGTGCTAGGGACCATCCATAACTTGATGCACGCTAGGCATGCACTAACCAAATGAGCTACGGCCCAAGCCCTATTTTTTTTCTTTTTTTCTCCCTGAGACAGGATCTCACTATGTAGCCTAAGCTAGACACCTAAGTTGAGATCCTCGTCTCCAGGTCTGGGATGAAGGTGTGGGCCACCGTACCTAGCATGAGTTTTTGACTTCTCACATGGAGTGTACACAGGCACCCACCAGGCTCAGCCCCTCACCTGCTCCTAGTGTCCCACTCTCCACTGCCAAGTCACAGCATTCACTGGCCCTCAGTATATACCCATGTCTCCCCAACTGTGTATCCCATACCCGTCCTAGGTCCTGATGCTTCCAAGTGGGAGGCCTCTGGGAAGGTATGTCCTAAGGTACCAGGTCCCCAGAGGGAGGGGAACATGAGCCCCAGCTTACATGTTTCAAGATAGGGTTTGGGACAGGTGTCTCAGAGCTGCTGTCTGGAGGGGGCCCGGAACTCAGCATGGCGCTCACACACACCTCCACTTGAGCATGCAGGAAGTTGTTGAATACGTAGTGGAAGAAGAGGTCCTGAGGGAGTGGGGACAGGGGCTGGTATCTGAAATGTTCTGCCCACATCTCCGCCTCCCTGGCCCCTGATCCTATCCCTTTACCAGTAAGGTGTTGGGCACATCCAGCACCAGGAGCTCCTGTGTCAAGGCAGCAGCGTTGGTACTCAGAGCACTGGCCAGGAGCTTGACCACATGTAACCTTGTGTTACCCAGTGGTGGGACCAGGCTGCCCCACGTCATCTGGAGAGGCTCCAGCTACACAGGAACAAGGGATGCTTAGTGCACACAGGGTACTTCTCTTCCACCCCCACTTCCCTCTAGAATCATAACAACCAGTCCCCCACCTTGGGAGGCTCAAGCAGGAGCTGATGGAAGCGGGCAAGCCGGGGACGCAGGGCATGCAAGGCACCCATACTGGATACTGCATTATCCAGGGCCCCCTGGGCCAGGAGCTCCAACTGCCCATCCACGCTGCTAAAGAAGTTGTTCATGGTCACAGAGTCAGACCTGTGGAGAGAGCAGGATGAAGGCACACTGTGCCACACAGGCCACAGCAACAGGCCAGAGGAATACCACAGTGTTCCTGTGCCCTGAACACCTGGAGTTCTTTGACAGGTCGGACAAGCAGGGCAGAGGTCAGGCCTGGCTGGGGGAGGACCATATATCTGACTCCCCACATCTTTGCACAATGGCCACCTCGCTCGACCTTGAGGCTCTGAGGGACTGCAGATGCAGGCAGGGGCACCCTACCGTGGCCTCCTAGGCTCCAGGAGGGTCAGCAGCACTTGGATCCCACTGACAATGACGGACTGGCACTGCTCCCCCTCAAACATGTTACTCAGGAGCTGCTCAATGGTCTCCTGCCTGAGGGAAGCGGAGTCAGAGTCAAGGGCCAGGGCTCCCCGAGGACAGGTCCCTCCCCAGGCCTCAGCACTGGTCCTGCAAACCCACTTCTCCAAGGTGGCCAACAGCTGGTCTGGCTCCGGACTGTCCTGGCCTTGGATCATCTGCTCCCGGCTGAGGCGGATGATGTCACACAGGGACTGGGATGCATTGGAATGTTGCTGGGGAGTGGAAACAAGGAAGGATGCAGCACAGGCCAACCATCGGCCGCCAGCCCTTTCCGACAGACACTGGGATGCATGCTACAGTGAGGAAGCCAGTACCTAAACCTCCAGAACGGAGACACTGATGTGTGCACATGCAGCACTGCTCAACCACATACTCATCAACTGCTAAATGGAAAACAAAGCTTGGTACAGCCACAGCGTGGGGTATTTATGATTCCGCCATGAAAAGGAATGAGGACTAACCCATGCCACAAGACCCCCTGCCAAGGAAGTCTCATGTAACCCAAGCTTACCCCACACTTTCCAGGAAGCAAAGAATGACCTTACACCTCTCCTTCTCCTGCCTCCAGTCCCAGAGAACTGAGGTTATAGGTGTGAACCACTATACCTGGTTTATGTGTTTCCCAGTCCCAGAGAACTGAGTTATAGGTGTGTACCACTATTCCTGGTTTATGTGGTTCCCAGTCCCAGAGAACTGAGGTTATAGGTGTGAACCACTATACCTGGTTTATGTGTTTCCCAGCCCCAGAGAACTGAGGTTGTAGGTGTGTACCACTATACCTGGTTTATGTGTTCCCAGGGCTCCATGGATGCTAAGCAAGCTCTCTACCAACTAAGCCACATCCTCAGCACCCTTACCCATCTTTTAAGGCACAAGGGGATGTGGAACATAAAAGAGTCTGAAGAGGTCAGCCGGCACTCACATTGTCATCCTTTGATGGGTGGATCTGCTCAATGAGCCGCTGGACAATCTTTTCTTCGTTGAGCCACTGAAGGAAGAGGGTAAGTTCCTAAACCATACGCCAGCCCATCCCACTCCACCACTCCACCTCCTGAGCAGGCCCTCACATTGAAGACATCCTGCCGCAATTGGGGCCGCTCCACGCAAGTAAGCAGGCGCAACAGAAGGTCCATGATGGCCGAGGTGCCAATGTGCCGCAGCAACAGGTCCACAAAGTCATCTTTCTTGCGCAGGAAGGACACAAGCTGGGGGCACAAGCTGTGTCACAGCATAGAGTTCTGATACCCACCCCCCCCACTCCTCACCCACATGTTGAGTCGGCAGGCACCTGGTCTGTCTTGCGATTGATGAGAATGCCCATGACCTTGCTGAAAAAGCTAGCAAGTAACGGGTTGAGGCTGTCACCACTCTGCAGGAAGCCATAGAGCCGGTTTAGGAGGGACTCATCTGCACCCAGGGCATCGTTGATCTGGGGCACATCAGAGGTCAGGATCTCACAGGCCACACTAGGGTACCTGGGAAGTGAGCGCAGGATAGGTGTGGGTGCGGAGAGAAGGCGAAGGCCCCACCTCATCCCCACGTCCAGCCCTGGGCTGCTCAGGGGTCCTGTGTCCAGGAAGGGAATCCAAAAGAGAACTCAAAGTCCCCTTCAATTTCTGTACCCTCCCCAGGCTTCCTTAACAACCCTGAGGGTGCAGGAGTTATAGACCGGGGGCTAAGAGCACTTGCTGCTCTTCCAGAGGACTTGGGTGTTTGATGCCTAGCACCTACATGGCAGCTCACAACCAACTGCAGCTGTGAGTCCAGTGCCAGGGGATCCAACAGCTTTGTCTGGCTTCCACCAGGACCAAACACTCATCATACACATCTGGTAACACCAATACACACGCAGCCAAAACACTCATACACATAAAATAAATTTTAAAAATTAGCCAGGTGGTGGTGGTGCACATCTTTAATCCCAGCACTTGGGGAAGGAGAAGCAGGAGGATCTCTGTGAGTTTGAGGCCAACCTGGTCTACAGAGCGAGTTCCAGGACAGCCAAGGCTACCCAAAGAAACAAAAAATTACAACAGCCAGGCATGATGTCACACACCTTTGATCCCAGCATTTGGAAGGCATAGGTGGATCTCTGTGAGTTCAAGGGCAGCCTGGTCTACATAATGAGGTCCAGGACAGACAGGGCTACATAGAGAAACTCTGTCTCAAAAAACAGAGCGCGCTAGAGAGATGACTCAAGCGGTTAAGAGCACTGTTGACTCTTCCAGAGGTCTTCAATTCAATTTCCAGCAACTATATAGTGGCTCACAACCATCTACAGTGGGATCTGATGCCCTCTATTGGCAGTAAGTTATACATGCAGACAGAGCACTATATATACAAAATCTTTTTTAAAAAGTAAAATAAAGAAAACTGAAATTAAAAACACAACAAATATCTAGTGGGAACCCATTGTGGTGGTACATGCCTTTAATCCCAGTACTCAACAGGCAGTGAGCAGGTAGACCTCTATGAGTTCAAGGCCAGAGCTACATAGAGAGACATTGTCTCAAAACAAACAAAAACCCACTGGGGCTCCCTCCACCACAAAGTGACATCTGAATTGACCTTAGTCCTAAAACTCCTGCATTTCCTGATCCCTCCCCCACTAACTCCCATCTCTTCTAATGCCATGTCCAGTACCACATGCTGCTCCAGCTCACATGCCGCTCCAGCTCACATGCTGCTCCAGCTCAGGCCCTCTCCTTACCACCCTAGCCCTGGCGTCATTTTCTAACCTCCAACCCTTGCTCCTCTTCTCAGACACATTTAGGTACTTGACATTCCAAGAGCTTCACTGCTCCGGTACCACCCAGGGCCCCGTGACACTACAACTGCTCCAAGTATAGCCCCAAAATGTGGGGACCTCTGCCAAGAGCCCCCCCATCTAGAAAACCGACTCCTTGGTTTAGGGCAGGGACACCCAGAGCCAGCAGGGATGCCTCACCATCAGTCAAGCTCTCTATGCTGAGTCTAGATCACAGCCCACTAGTTGCAGGTTTAATGAGGGTGGATGGGCAGAGGGAAGAGCAAAGGAGAAGATGCCCAGTGGAATGAGCTGGCAAATGACAGACACCAGGAAGCAAGGGACACCCTACTGTTATAGACTCTGTCCCTCAGAAGTGCTATCAGAGGCAGCAAGACCAAAGAGGCCACAGCTCTACGGCTGGCACTGCCTTGCAGCCCACACTACAAGGGGGAAATGAGCTGGGCGGTGGT